CCGATCCAAGCTCGGACCGGTCTCGGCCTGGATCGGTTTTTCAAGGGTAGTGTAAATGGGGCTTAGGACTCCTCTTCCTTTTTTCGAGTTGTCCTTCTGGACAAAACATAAAAACATTTAAAGGTGTGAAAAGCTTTATGAGGGGGTGTGTTTACAAGCTTATTAAACATGTTACTCATAGAAACGTGTTGTTTAAAGCGACTGGTTGAAGGGATCCGTCTGTTAAATCCGAGGGTCCAAACCGAGCCTGAGAGAGCTCCCTCAGACGCATGGATCTGCTCCAAGTTTCTGTCAGAGGTTTTGCTGTTTGGCTTTTGGGGTTTGAGGCTGCAGCAGCCTGTTGGCCACCAGCAACAATAACAAGCAGAGCGGCTGATTTCTGCTGTGATTTGTGTCCCGCTGCCACCCCAGAGTCACACAGGGCTGGATGTTTATTGCTCTAACTCAGAAACGTTTCATCATCCGCAGGGGAAAGTGTTCTGCTTTCCGTCTTTCGTTGGAGGCTCGCGTTTAGCACCAAGCGTCTGTTTCTGCAGGATAATAGGAGAGAAGTGGATGTGTTTGTAATGACTGGGCATCCAGCGGGCGTGCCGTCCTGCAGACCAGGACGAGCAGATGTTTTTCACCCTCACAGGTGCCTGAAGGAGCGGTGAACTTCCAGCTTCTGACGGCTGCAGCAGGAGGAGGCAGCTGAACAGAGCAATGGGTTGGATGTGCAGCAGCGACACGAGAAACAACAGCAGCTGTTATACGTTCTGTTATTAGCATGATCTGTAAAATGACTTGTTCTGGTCAAGAGCTTCTCTTCTTCTTCTTCTTCCTTTCTGACACTTTCCCTCCACATGGACAGAGCTGACTGAGTTGATACCATGGATCTCACTGGTCTTCACACCACAGTTACCTGAACCCTTCATCTCCAACCTTTTAATGTGACATCATTCCCTTACAGTTAGCCAGACTAGCAAAACAAGAAACAAAAGCGACTTTAAGTAAACAAACCCTTATAATGATCCCTCGTCATGATTCAGTCTATAAAGGAATCCATGACTAGTTATGCATCTTGGACTGGTCCCTACCCGATCTGTCCTGGAAGCACGATTTATCCTGCGCATGCGCCATTAGCTCATGCGCGCATCCAGATATACATCTGGGTCGCCCTCCTTTTTATTTTGTTAAAAAGACCTAAATGACGTTTTTCCCTCCCCAAAAATAGTAAACGTACTAAAATATAATATTTTAAAGTTTAATAAAGTATTTCCCGAGAAAATAAATGCTATTAAATCCGTCTGATCCTACGCTAATTCCGGGAGCTAACTTTTTCGGCTTTGGATTTAAACATACATCTAGTGTTTTTGCATTTTATGTTTTTCTTTCATCTTATAGTGCATAATCTAAAGAAAGAAACAGCTAAAATGCAGATAAACATTGTTTAATCATATTTTGTCGGACTCCTCTGAGCACGTCCTGCTGCGCTGGAAGCTACGGCGTAAACAGGCTGTAGGCTAACATTAGCACTGCTGTTTTATGTTGTATTGTGTCTGATTTAGACAATGCCGCACTGTGTCACATCATCAGGTTTTTATAAGCCTTTATACATCAGATATCTGAGAAAAAAAAAAACAAATATATTCTAGAGTTTACTATATTAGCTAAAGCTAACACCATTAGCAGAAGCTAACGGGAAATCAAAGATCTGGACTTAGCATTACTCATTAAAATAGGCTAAGGGAGTTTCTCGATTTCATCCGCCATTGTTCCGGGCAAATAAAGGATAGGGTAGCTCCGCCCACTGGCCATCACACCCACTTTTTTACACGTAGCTAGAGCAAAGATGCTTCCGCTGCGCGTCAGAACTATAAGCGTAGCACGCGCACGCGCGTTTTTGCTGAACGTAGCGTTACCTTGACCGCACAGAAATAAACGTTATGGCTAAACCTCTTAAAACCAAAAAAAACTTTGGGTTTGCAGCCAGATTAAAGAGGTTTCTGTCAAAGTGGAAGATAAGAGATCTGAAGAACCACAACATAAAGAGAAAATGCTGAGAATCAATTAGAAGGATCTTTATTAAATGGGATGAATGTCGCATTAAAGTTGCAGGAAAGGTCTGCTTTCTGAACAGAAACCTGACATGTTATCAGAGGGGTGTGGACCTTTGAGATCCAACGTAGCTGTTGCCATTGTTGAACCTTAACGTCCTGGCGTCCCCCCCCCCCGTCTCTCTGCAGACATTCAGTGCAAGACGTCAGCCAAGGCCGACATGGTGCTGCTGGTGGACGGCTCCTGGAGCATCGGACGCATCAACTTCAAAACCATCCGTAACTTCATCGCCCGCATGGTTGGCGTGTTTGACATCGGCCCCGACAAGGTGCAGATCGGTGAGCCTCTTCCGCCGCCACCCCCGCCTCTAATATGAACGGAGAAACGAGGAAACGAACATCAAAGGTCTGCGGTTCAGACTGTAGATGTTCTCCAACACAGAGAAGATCCCCGTTAGACGGCAGCTTGTTCTTTATTAAACATCCAGTCGAGTTTTGACCAACTATCTGGTCACATGGTTCATAAAGATGGAGGCAACACCTTCCACCGTCTAAGAGTTCAACCTAGATGGGCTCCAGGATCCTGGTAGATCTCACCTTTCATTCAAAAAATATTTTTTGTTATTTTCCTGCAGCTTTGGCTCAGTACAGCGGAGACCCGAGGACCGAGTGGCACCTGAACACCCACTCCACCAGAGACGCGCTGCTGAATGCCGTCAACAACCTTCCATATAAGGGAGGAAACACCATGACAGGTGAGTCAGTGGGAGGGGCTTGGCGTTCAGAGTGTTTCCAGTTTAAACCGTGTCTGATCTGCGGCTCCTGGTTTGAGTTGATATTTAAAAGCTTCAACAGGAAATAAACATTTCTGTAAATACAGTCAGCTATATGCCCATATATGGACATGCTTCCTGTTAAAGGCTCCTTTTAAATTTAAAAGGAGTTAAACCCAAGAATCGGAAAGGTACGGAAGAGGATTAGGGCCACTGAAAAAAAAAAAAAAGTTAACTGATTTTTACATTTTAATTCAGTTTAACATGGGAAAAAAAAATCTCAGAATTCTGA